TGGTATATGAATGTTCGAGAAACGAAAAGGCGGACGTAGTCCCCTAGCTAGATAGGAAGCAAACATTAACATGAAAACCCCACAACTGGATCCGTCCACCTGCCTTGACACTCCTTTGACGAGAACTTTGAATCTCATGTCATCATGCCTTTGGGGCAACGCTCTTATCATTGCCTCTTCATTCAGGTACTGCAGAACCGCTCTGCAAGCATTTGAAGCAAATGAAGCGTCGCACACTGCACTATAATAAGAATCAACGTACTGTACAACTCTCTTTCTAAAATCTACCGTAAGAAAAACCTAGTGTTCGTTGTCCTTGTGAATAGGGATGAGCAAGACGTCATATTCGAAAAGATTGACATCTTTCGTCCATCTTGTCACCCCTTTACAACCCTGAAGTAGCAATTTCGTGAAAAAGAAAGAAACAAAGTTGTACACTTTGGAAGAAGATATATGACTATCCCTAACAAGCAAGGCCAAGTAGAAGTTCACGACCTCGTCGTTCAGCTCGCCTCCTCTGTCCAACGAGGTGTCCATGTGTCGAACCCTAACAACCAAGTTCTCAACAAGCAGGCGAGCCACAATCGTCGTTGGAGATAGGCAAGAATGTACAAGGTTGTCCAACAAGTTCGACAACTCTCCCTCACTTCTTCCAACGCTCGGTGCGCTCATGTCTGCTGCATAGACCAACCAAGCAACACGCATGACCATGAGATTAATGATACCCTAACTGTCCAAGCCGCCCAGTTCTTTGCTTTTAGTACTAAAAATAGTGTAAATCTGAACTCCTCTACTCGTCGAAGCTCGCCGCCTCTGTCCAACAAGGTGTCCATGTCTCGAACCCTAACAACCAAGTTCTCAACTAGCAGACGAGCCACAATCGTCGTTGGAGATAGGCGAGAATGTACAAGGTTGTCCAACAAGTTCGACAACTCTCCCTCACTTCTTCCAACGCTCGGTGCGCTCATGTCTGCTGCACAGACCAACCAAGCAACACGCATGACCATGAGATGAATGATACCCTAACTGTCCAAGCCGCCCAGTTCTTTGCTTTTAGTACTAAAAATATTGTAAATCTGAACTCCTCCACTCGTCGTTCTTTCAAAGTACGACTCAGGTTTAGAAACTGGAGAAACTGTGAACTTCTGGCAAACTCTCATATGCAACTTCTTAACTCTCTCAGCACTCACACCAGCCGCTTTTACAATTTTCATATATCTTGGGGATAATTGTGGCACTCTCGTCTTCGTGAGATATTCCTTCGACTTTCTTCGTACAGCAGACGAAGGAGACGACCGACCCGTACAACAGATGAAGAAACATAATTATGAATACAGCGTACAGCCGCTCTTCGCAAACCAAGGGGCAACGAGCAATTACCCTCATGTTTCACATATCCCTAACCGCTATCTACATGTGAAAGAACACTCCAGATGTTCAGCACTAGAGAGACCCAAAGTTAAGCAATGAAAGTCACTGCTTACCGGTCACAACTTCTTCTCGAGCATGTCCACCAGTATCGTCCTCGTGTTTATCTTGAACTCGTGGCACCTCCTCCTGTACGCAGCTGGCTTTCAGACCTAGCACTACCCCTGCTCCTTTGATCTTCCCCGATGCAACAATGAGATCCACACGGGCTGGGAACTTGGACAAGTCGTCAAGGTCAGCGTTGACGATTCGAACGACCTCTTCAACAGAGGGACTAAGAGAGTCGGCACGCTGTTGTCCGACATCCTCATTGAGAGACAGTTCCACGAGAGCTTTCCCGGCGTCCTCAGTCTTGCCTGGACTGGAATCCACCACAGCTGCGGTGGCAGCAAGGTCTTCGTCATCGTGAAAAAGCTTTCGGGCGATGTCATCACCCAGCGGATGATGAACAACCCCTTCTTCCTGCTCCGACATGGTGACGTCTTTCTCCTCCACGCACGGACTTGACACATGCAGGCAGTTGTGAGGGCCGCATGTCAAGCGCCTGGGTTGAGTCGCCACGAATTAAATTGTCCACCGAAAGCGGTCTTGTGTCGATTCCCGAATACAACTGCGAGAGAAAGTCGTCATCCATACCACCGCATCTCACGTCACGAGGAGAAGTCGCCTGCATTTCCACAGTCTTGTCTATGACGTCCTTATCCTCCGAAAAATATGTTGAGTCGGAGCCACTGGACTTGCTCTGTTGGTCCTTTGTAATCTCTCCCCATGGAGGACTTAGATTCCACGCTGAACTTTTCTGGACAGGGGTTAGCAATCCAGAGGCTCCTCTGCCTTTGCTTGTTGTGCGGAGGACAAATCCTCCACTGTCTCGAAGGCTCTGAACATCCGTGGCACTTACGGGCAGGCTTCCTGCTTGCGTTTCTCCTGCATCCGCAGCCCGACTTGTTGTGGGGAGGATAGATCCGCCGCAGGCCGAAAGACATTCAACTCCCGGGACACTTGCAGGAAGGCTTCCTATGGGTGGCAGGCTCTGGACGCCCGGGACACTTGCAGGCAGGCTTCCTGCTTGCGTTTGTCCAGTTGGCGTGTCAAGGCTTCCTACTGGCTTGTCCCCAACTTGACTTCCTTCTGGACACTTGGCAGCCTGACTTCTTTCCTGGAAGCCAGCGAGAGGGTTGTGCACCGTCTGGACACTCTCCGGAAGGTTCCCTTCTTGCGCCTCCCCAGCCCGACTTGTTGTGGGGAAGATAGATCCGGCATATGCTGAAAGGCACCGAACTCCTGCGGGTGGGAGGCTTTGGATTCCTGGGACACTTGCAGGCAGGCTTCCTGCTTGCGTTTGCCCAGTTCGACTTGGCGTGCGGAGGATAGATCCTCCACTGGCAGAAACGTCGTGGCTTCCTGTGTGGGTCTCTCCAGTCTAACTTGCTGTGGGGAGGATTGATCCTCCACTGGCGGATAGGCTCTTCGCTCGAGGGACGCTGGCCTCGCAGCCGATGGAAAGACACCCTGCGTCGACCTGCGGCATTGGTTCGGATTCCACAGACTTTATGGATCCCACTTCCCCTTCCAAGTCTGAGGCGAAATTAGATCCCGCAGAAACTGTGCATGGGACAGACCCGACACTGAGCAGTTTGGAACATGCAAAAACTCCGGCCCCGATTGTGGGGCGGATACATCCTCCACTGAACAATAGGGCAGCGGTGGGTTCAACAAGTCGAGAACCCGTGCTGGTCTGTGAGGCAGTCCCTTCTACTTTTAGACGGGCACCCATTCCATGCGGGATTGTTCGTGCAGAGCTTGGCTGATACCCACTTTGCCCACCCGATCTTGTACCGCCGCGGCCCCCCGATCCTGTATGGCCGTCGCCCCCCGCTCCTCGCATGCCCTGGTTACCTCCGCCACCACTGACGGTTCCACCCCCTCCACCACTGCTGGTTCCACCCCCTCCACCACTGCCGGTTCCTCCCCCTCCACCACCGCCGATTCCACCCCCTCCACCACCGCCGGTCCCACCACCTCCCGACGAAATCACCCACTCTATTTGGATTCCGTAACTCGGGCTCGTCTCGAGTCCGTAAAAATCAGCAAGGAGCTCCAACGAATTGCGATCCCGTAAAATTTTGAATATGGACTGTCCATGCCATACGGCCACCGAATTCTCCGGTTCTAGGGAGTTAATCCCCGCAATGCGCCGTACCACCTCCTCATGCGCAACTTGTAAGAAATCTTCCTTTGACATGCGCGTATCAACTTCCCACACATCGTCATCATTGACTTTGCTCATGACCCATTCACTATCCAGAACGGCCGGTTGGAAATAATCAGGATGCCACACTATGTGGTGACCCCATTCAGCCTCGCTGGTGCTCTTGTGGTCTTTGCCGAAGTGGTATATTTTGCCTGGTAGAAGACCCGACAACACGGGCAGCGGAATTGGAAGTCCCGGCCTGACGGTGGGGCTGAGTGGTCTTCTCCTCGACGACAAAAATCCTTTTGAAGAACCGGACGTTGGAGTAGCGACCGGCACGACAACTGAAGTGCCGAGAGGCGAACCCACGGGAATCAGGGAACTTGCAGGCGTTGACAAGGATGCTACACCGGCAGCATGTTTGCGGTATGTTGCCTCCAAATCGAACTCCGTATTACCTACGCTGACCTCTTCATCGTCGTTAGGGTTGAAGTCCTCCTCGTTATTGAAGTGTGCCCTGAAGATATTAAGAGTGACTTCAGTCTTCCCTTGGTCAAAATAACACTCTTCCAGTTTGTCGGCGAAGTTTGCCGCCGCCTCCCTTGACCCACCTTGGTAGCCGTCCAGTGTTCCGATCGTGACTTGTTGACGCAGTATGTAGTCATTATCGGTTCGGTATGAGGGACGTGTGTCCTGGAAGAGGAACTTGTAAAGCTTTGCCCGTTTCTCGGAGGACAGCTTGAACCAAAAGTTCCTGTTGGGATCATGCTGGATGGAGTTTTGCCCGATGTGCAAGTCGCAGTTGTGAACTCCACTATTGATCTCGTGCATGATGTACGTCTTCAGAAAGCTGAGGAGTTTTGTGTCCCCCTTCACGACCACTACATGGCGCCCACTCTTGAGGAGGTTCCACACAACTTGGGTGTGCGCCTTCCCAAGGAACATAACCGCATTCTCGGGTGGGCAGAAGAACTCCATGAGGTTGGACAACATACTAGGCTTGCGCTCCATTTCCTTATACACCACCCCCTTCTGGTGGAGGACGCCTGCTGAATGGAACGTCGTCGGTGTGAACTGAGTTTCAACAATATCGGATGGTGTGCACTTCTGCTTCTTTCCCAAGGCGGCAACGTCGTCATCTCGCAACCCCCCCTCATAAACTGGATGAGTATTGAGCTTGAGGTCATCCCCGTGGAAGAGTACATACATCCTGTCCTCTTCGGCCCATGTGCTATTACCGATCTGGTAGGTCTTCCGAATTTGGCCCCTTCGAACCCATTTTCCTGCGCTTCCACTCACCATAGGGAGACAATGTAGTAGACTCGTGAAAGAGAGGTCCCAGACCCTGGGAACAAAAGCGACCACTGTCCAAAATTCAGGACATAAAGTCTCCAGGAAACCCGCCAATGCCTTGAAGGCCTCCTCATTTCACCGTGCTCGGTCAACGGGATCACAAAGGTCAATGATGCACGTGTGACACCGGAGTTGCCTCACAACACGCCGCATGTCGTCCTTCACAAGAAATGCTGTGAAAGCATCGAAGGCGAAAGGTGAGAGTGTTGTGACGACTTTGGTGTCCCTCCACTTGATGTTAGTGCAATCGTCCAGTCTGACAGGCGCCTCCTTCTCTTTGCTGCGTTCGCCTTTGAGCACGGACAAAACAGCCCGCTTGAACTCGGTAGGGAACTTCTTGTCTTCAACTAGACTCAGCATTGTTTTCAGCTCCTTATCTGAGGAACAACGGAGGTACTGGGGGCAGTCCTTCAGGTATGAGTGATCGGTGACAAATCTCCTGCAAGCCGCCCATAACTTCTCGTTCAGCCCCCTCGAGCCGTATTGCGTCAACAGTTGCTCTCTCGTCCGGAAGAAACCAGCGTTCCACTCATCGCTGGTCCGGCCCTGGTGCTGGAACTCAATTATATTCCACAGTCGAAGCAACATTCGGTCTTGCTTTACGATTTCGCAGGCGTCTTTCATCCCCATTTTTCCGTGCTCAACTAGTTTCTCGCTCCCCTGCTGCACCCATACAATCTCAAGGTCCAACACACCCCTCAAAATCCGTTGTTTTTCTAGATCTGTGAGATCCCCCATTTCTTTCCAGCAATGCACGTCGGGTTCATTGACTTGAACGAAAAAGTCGCGCTCCTCTTGTTTCCTCCTCATCTTTCCTTTGCACAGCTTTGGATCTGTAACCCGAACATTATACACGACTCTCTTCTGGCCGCTGCTGTCCTCTGCAAAAGATTGACCCTCCTTAGTGGCTTTCGGGTCAGTCGTAAGAGGCCACTTAGTCCACAGGGCGCCTTCCGGAGCGAGAAGTTGACCCTTCGTCCACTCGTCATAGAACTTCATACCTAGTTGCCACGTCTGGTCATCGCTCATGACGAGAGGTAAAAAGTACCTTAATTTCTCTTGCCATACCTTTTTATCTTCTTTAGTGCCGTTATCCACAATCTGCCAGAGATTGTGGTATGGTGTCTTTCTCAGTGCCTGTTTTTGAAATTTTTCATAATTGGCGACCAAGGCCTGCTTGAACTTAACATTCCCAGCTACTGGACGAGGACGTTTCAAATTTTCCCAAATTTGTCGAATGTCGATCATATACAGCAGTTGGGCCCTAGGAGGGGCAATCTTGTCCTTCCTGTTGTCGATTACACTGATCTAGGTGTAACCGTCGAAGTCCTCGTCCGAGAAGTACAGCGGTTTGAACGGCCACTCAAAGAATGAGTGCTTGTTCCAAATATCATGCTCCCTCAGTAGCAAAGCGACCTTCATGTTGTGTTGCCCGCTCACGGCATAGTACCAGTGCTCGTTTGGGTTGTCCTCATTGAATTGATCCAGTGTAATACGGACCGCCTTTTTCCCTTCCGTAGGTTGCTCTTTGATTGCTGTCAATTTCACGACTGGCTTCTCGTAGGTGTGGTTTGGCTTCGAGTAGGTATCTAGCATGGCTTTCAGCATAAACTCAACGTGGGTGTCGTCCATTGAACGATGATTATATGGCTCCTCCCACGCCGGCAACGGAATCACCCTATCTGGGTTTACAAAAAGAGTTACATTTTTTTTCAAACCTGTTTTCCACTCCAGAAAATAACTTGTGTCAAAATCGATAATTCGAGCATTCAAATCACCCTCCTCCTCTCCCTCCACCTGATCCTTCTCTTCCTGGCTTTCGCTGATCCCTTTCCGGTAACACCTTGCCATTTCTTCTTCGTAGTCTCTTCACCCCCTTCTGTCGACTTTCTCTTCACCCCGGCTCCTTAGGAGGTACTCACTTTTCTCTTCTTTTGCTTTCCCCCCTCGGCAGACCCTTGCCCAACTCGTTTATCTCCTGTCGACACGACCTGGGTGTAGTCATGGGTACCCCCCTCTTCGTCAGAAACTTCCTCTTCCGGGTTCTGCCCAGGCGGTATGGGTGCCTTCCCCTTTGCACCACCACCAACCTCAACAATCCCTCGACACACCGGAGCCTCTGATTCAGCTCCACCGCCTTCCCGGATGCAGATTGTCCCCCTCTTTAAACGTTCAGCCTCTGATTCAGCTCCACCACCTTGTTGATTAGGGGTCTTCTCAACTGCACCCTCGCCATCTTGAATTTCGGGTTCTGACTCTTCATACGCTTGAGGGTGATCAGGCTGTGAGGGAATGTAATCAGGGTTCATAACCTCGACAAATGTTCTCGGCACTGCACCCTCATCGGGACCGCCAGTCAGCGCCGTTTCGGACGTTTGAGTCCTCATGGGCTCAACATCGACTGTGGCAATGGGCCTGGAAATGGGATGCCCCGACGGCAGGTCCTTACACCTTTCTGGCGACACTGTTCTCTCCCACTCATCGAAGAAACAACGCAAGGCAACATCAGTTTCTAAAGTAGAGGTTATAGGGCTGTAAAACGAAAGACTGGTGGCATCCTTTCCGAAACCCCGGAAATTATTCCACTTCAGTCTACAACCTCTGGCGTCGTGATCAGGCTCCCCACTCTTTGTGTACACCGTTTGCACATGAAACGTTCGAACCCCCTTGGTACAATCTTCCCACCCATTCACAGCCCCCAGCAGTCGAATTGCATTACGGTCCTTGATGTAGAGGACACATCCACACGACGGTTTAGTTGGCACTGAAGGATCTTCCGAAACCCAGTCGTGTACCACGAATGGTTGTCTAGCTTATAGTACTGAGGATTCTTCTTCTCGCCGGACGAACACCCCCGACGCCTCCGATCGGCAATTGGTGCAGCACCCGTTGTCGTTGCGGCCCCACCACGGTTCCCACATGGCTCAGGAGTCACGCCCCCAACGGACGGATGGCTTCGCTCGGTCGTTGCCGTTGTGCCCGAGGTCACTAAATGCCCTTCACGGTTCCGGCCTCCATCAAGCGTCACTTCTTCGACGGACGGTCGGGCGGTGTCGCGTTGTTCTCCAGCGCCGTCGGATGCCATTTGATCTACGTACGACGAGCACGAAGTGTCAGGACCTACGAGCACGAAGTGTCAAGACCTACGAACACGAAATGTCAAGACTTGTGCGGCAGATACATCCACCACTGAGAAAACAAATTCTGTAGTGATAGCTTGATGAAGGTTATACATCACCTCCGGAGGATTCACAACCTCATGTTCTGTGGAGCATAGATCTGCTCCAGAGATGTGGCCTCGTCTCTGGGGCGGATGTATCCACCACACAACTGGAAGGTTTCTACACACGAATAGTGACACAACCGGACCCCCTCGATACACACAACGCGTGGAGGACTAATGCGTTCAAGATATGACGAACCATCTCTGAGGCGGATGTATCCTTTACACAACCGGAAGGACTCCATACACACATTGCGCGACACGAAGTGTCAAGACATGTGTGGCGGATACATCCCCCACCGAGAAAACAAATTGTTTAGAGATAGAGCCACGACGGTTATACATGAGCATCCTCCGTGCCTTGCTCTCGGTATCACATCAGTCTTGTGGAGCGGATAGATCCTCCCCACGAGCATGCATCTAATTTTGTTGTGTGAAGCAGCAGTCGCTTAATTGAATTTTGGTTGTGGAGAGGAATCAGAGGATAGATCCGCCCTACCGGTATGGGTACTAGAGAGTGATCGCGTGTCCTTGCTAGGTCCTGTCCGCGTAGGTGATCGCGCCGTGAGGAGGATAGATCCGCCCCAGAGGTAAGGGGGTTTGTGAGGAGGATAGATCTGCCCCAGAGTTATGGGTACTTGATAGTGATCGCGTGTCCTTGCTGGGTCATGTCGTTGTAGGTGATCGAGTTGTGAGGAGGATAGATCCGCCCCAGAGGTATGGGGGTTTGTGAGGAGGATCGATCCGCCCCAGATATTCGAGCCCTGCTGCCGGAGAATCGGAGCACGACTTTCGTGATCTCTGTGGCGGATCTATCCTCCACACAGCGGGCACATATTCGCCAACAAGTTCCGGTAGCCTCGCTCCCATCTATGGGTTAAAGTGGCCGCATCGTGTGAATGATTGATCTTCCTCACAACAACAACACAGGTCATTGCTGGATCCTGTCGGCAGATGTGTCCGCGCTGTGAGGAGGACAGATCCGCCCCAGAAGTTAATGGGGAGCAGGACTTCCGTGACTTATCGGCGGATGTGTGCCCGTTGTGTGGAGCAGAGATAAATCAGGTGAAAAACACGATCGCCGAAAGTCCAAGGGTTTCTGTGTTCAATCAATCTACGCAGAATGAATCGGTCCCTAAGGAAGCCCCGAAAGGCAGTGCCGATGATCGCCTGTTCTTGCTCGGTCCTGTCCTCGTAGGTCATCGCGCTGTGAGGAGGATAGATCCACCCCGGAGGTATGGGTACTAGAGAGTGATCGCATGTTCTTGCTGGGTCCTGTCGGCGTAGGTGATCGGGCTATGAGGAGGATAGATCCGCCCCAGAGGTATGGGGGTTTGTCAGCATGATCGATCCCCAGACATCCGAGCCCTGCTTCTGGAGGATCGGACCATGACTTCCGGGCCCAAGAGGTATGGGTAGTAGAGAGTGATCGCGTGATCCTTCTGGGTCCTGTCGGCGTATGTGATCAGGCTGTGAGGAGGATAGATCCGCCCCAGAGGTATAGGGTTTGTGATGGGATAGATCCGCCCCACAGGTATATGTACTAGAGACTGGTCGTGTGTCCTTGCTGGATCCTGTCCTCGTAGGTGATCGCGCAGTGCGGAGGATCGATCTCCAGACATGTGAGCCCTGCTTCCGGAGGATCGGACCACGGCTTCCGGACCCGAGAGGTATGGGTAGTAGAGAGTGATCACGTATTCTTGCTGGGTCATGTCGGCGTAGGTGATTGGGTTGTGAGGAGGATAGATCCGCCCCAGAGGTATGGGGCTTTGTGAGGAGGATAGATCCGCCACACAGGTGTATGTACTAGAGACTGGTCGCGTGTACTTGCTGGGTCCCGTCGTCGTAGGTGATCACGGTGTGAGGAGGATAGATCCGCCCCAGAGGTATAAGTACTTGAAAGTGATCGCGCGTCCTTGTTGGGTCCTGTCCTCGTAGGTGATCGCACTGTGAGGCAGATCCGCCCCAGAGGTATGGGTGCTAGAGACTGATCCTGTGTTCTTGCTGGGTCCTATCCTCGTAGGTGATCACGCTGTGAGGAGGATAGATCC